GTAGAAGAGTTCAAGAATGAAGATGATGATATAGTTGCTTGTGTGTTTGATTTACAATAGGATATATATTTTACATGACATGATATATATATATATATATATGGTATATGGTATAAGTGAGTACATGTTAAGGTATATGTGTATGAGTATAAGTTTAATAAGTTAAGCAGATTTATTGTTGAGTTGATTTTGATTAAGAAATATAAGAAGGATACATGTGATTGGTTGTCTAGGGCTTGTTGTGCCTTAGATTAAAAGAGTGTTACTGGTATTAAATTTGTTTTCATTTTTAAGAAATGGTTAATCGTGTTAAAGTTCTTGAGAGAGCTCAAAATAAGAGGATTGGAAAAAAATCTTAGAGGATTAAGAAAATTAGTGCTTAATAAAGTTAAGCACCATCAAAGAAAGATATAGAATATGGTTTTCAACTTTAAATCATATATGAATTAGTTGTATTCTCCGCTAGAGAATAAAGCCAATCAGTTCAGATGGATTGGAAATTATAGTATTAAAGGAACTTTATCGTTCTGAAGTAGAATAATTTCTTTACCGCATGAGCAAGATAAAGTGGAAGAGATTGATGTTAATTAGAGAATATTAAAAGACCAAGGAAGGGTTTAAGATATGTATATGAATGATCAGTTATAAGACAAAGGTAAATGGAATGGTTGAATTTGAACCAAAGGAATCGTATTATGGACGATAGAGAATGAAGGTTTAATAAGTGAAGGAAAAAACGAATGAATTATTTTGATTGTAAAGAATATATATATATATATATATAAATAAATAGTTTAATGAAGGTTTATGTTTTGATTGAAAGGAATAAGTTGAATAATAAAGTAGTGGGATAATAAATGTATTAAAGTAAAAGGATCTGTATGTTTGACGGAAGCTAAGGATTGAAAGAAAGGTTAAAAAGGATAAAGAAGGAAAAGTATCAAGGATAAGAAATGAATGTAAAAGCATAAGGAAATAGGGTAATGAAATAATTAAAGTAATGAAGTGAAGATTACGATAGCACGAAAGATTTATTGATGAGGTAATATGTGAAAATGAATATTAGACGTGTAAATAGTATTGTGTATAAGCAAGAGTGTGGATGTGATGAAGAGAAGAAGATAAAGATTCTTGTGTTTAAGGGAAGTTAAGGATTGATAGAGAAGAGTAAAGTAATATGAAAGGAGTAAGGAAGTATAAAAGAAATTAATTGAGTTATGATATCGAGAAGTAAGGATTGAATTTTTCTGTATATATAATGAGTAACAGTATATGGATTTATAAAGGTCGGATATATGATTGATTAATTAGGGCTTGTGCCCTAGATTTAACCGTTGATATTTGCTAATTGTAATAGTAAATGTGATAGAGTTATAAGATTGAAAGAAAAGATGAAGTGAGTTAATTAAGTATGATATGAATTTGAATATGATTATGTATTTGGATCCTATATAAATATGATGAAGGCAAAGAGAAGAGTATTTACAAGTTTAAAGGTAGCTTTGAGGAAGGAAAATACAAGTGCAAGAGGTGGTGAAGAATAAGGTTCTGTATAAGTAAAGCTGGTTATTAGAGTTATAAAATATGGAATAAAGAAATGAAAGGATGAAGTTTAAAGGATCAGATGTGATAAAGGTTATATGGAAGTGTAAATGATAAGTTTGATATAGAATACGAAAAGTGTGCAAGGTGATGTGAAAAGATTGTTTGACTTCATAAAGTATATGTTTAATCACAATTGAAGAAGATTTAAAATCGTGTTTTGGTCAAATGATGACGGAATAAAAGTTTGGTATAGTTATAAGGTAATTAGAGCGTTATGAAGAAATAGATGGATTTATGTTATAGAGCGGTGAGATGATTGTTACTATCTACGTGATAAGTGACATTATATGAAATTTTAGAAATATCAAAGGAAAAGGCAGATTGAAGGAAAGAAAAGACGGTAATGGATTGGATTCTTTGGAAAATGGAAGGCAAATCATTGATTATAAATTGTGAAGGGATAAAGTTGTGAAAACAACTTAAGAATATTAAAAGATATGTTCTTGTTAAAGTGTACAATGAAAAATTCGAGGATGAATTTTCTTAAAAGGAGGGGAGATTTGTAACATCCCAAATTATGGGTTAATGACCAAATTGTAAATTTTAAAAATTTGGTGACAAAATTATAATTTATTAAAAAGTTCAATGATTTAAGTATGAATATTTCAGTATTGGATTAAATGGTAATTAAGGAATTATGGAAGGGATATAATGGTCTTTTTATGAAAAATATATTTATCTCTTATTAAAGAGATAAGCATATGAGTGGGGAGTATCTAGAAGCTTATTTCCTTCTTCTTTTTCTTCTTCTTCTCCCCGTAAGCTCCATGGCAAAGGTAAGATTTCTTAGTTGTTGATTATTAGCTAAAATTTAAGTGGGGTTTTAATCATTAGGTGATACTTAAGCTTAGGGAAAGCTTAAGTTATCTTAAAATCAAAAGATGAAGAGGTTATAAAAGATTAAAGAAAATGAGTTTTAAAGTGAATTTTTGAAAAAGAGTTAATAAATGAACGTTGAGATGGAATTTAACTTGTCATAGGTGTGAATAAGAAGTTATAAGTGTTAAATCAAAATTTAGATAACATGAAAAATTGGGTATGATTCTTAATTTTAAGAATCATGAAGAGATATGGAAAATAAAGATAGTTTATATGGATATAAGTGGTTTATGAAGTGATAGTTGAGTTTAATGACATGATAGGGGCTTAAAATAGAAGAATTGAGTAAAGAGTTGATGATTTTCGGGATTGAAATACAATTTCTGGGTAAGGTGTATCGATGCAAATTCAAAGTGCATCGATGCACCCTTTAAAGAAGCAACACCGAATGCATTTTGTGCACCGATGTACAAGTAAGTGCATCGATGCACCGTTAAGGATGCATCAATACACTGTATAGTGCATCGATGCATACCTTCATTAAGAGTTGAAATTAGCTTTTCTCTTAGCCTAAGAAGGGATAGTTTAAGATATATCTAATGTAATTAGTATACTGATATGTATCAATGTATTGCTATGTAGATTTAGAGCGTAATACTGTTCCGGAACAATCGAAGGATTATGATTGATTCAAAGCAAACAAGGCTAAGGTGAGTGCAATTTAAATTGTACTTATAGAACAAACATTGGCTTGCGATGAGCCACTGACGGAGTTACTATAGTAAGAAGTAACTCTTAAAATGTTATTGTACGTGATATGTTTAACATGTTCTATGTGTTGTGTGATATATATATGTGCTTACATAAGAACATGAGAGATCAAATAAGCTATGTGATAAGAATATAGAGAGTGAAATGAATGACATGAAAATGCATGTATGTTTGATTATACGTGGGGATATGTTCTTGTAAATGTTATGTGGCTTATGTAAATAAATGGAAAGATGAATGTTATATATATAATATATGTAAAGCATCTGATAACAAGAGATACTAGTGATATTCATGTTATATGAACATAAGAAATGTTACAAGTTAAATGACATATGAATATGAATCATATGAAAGTGACATGTACATGTGAATATGTGAAAGTGTGATAACATAAATAATAATGCCCATGTTATGTTATACGAGAGCTAGGGGTATAGTTGACATTATTATATGTATATGTATATGTATATGATTCTTAAGGAATGATATGTGGTCCTTATGGACATTATTATATGGCACTACGGTGCAATTCTACGCGGCACTCCGATACAATTCTACGCGGCACTCTAGTGCAATTCTACGCAGCACTTCGGTGCAATTATACGAGTTGTGGTGACAACATAGTGGTGCACAACCTCAATAGACTCACGTATCTACAGTTCTCACATATATACCATGGGCTAATAAAGAGATAATATTAAAAACTTGATATGATGATATACTTGTTTCCTTATGAAATGTTATGTGTGATATATGATTGTACAAGGGTAATTATAAGATCATACGATAAAAGGAATCAATGATAGTGATAAGAGATATGAATAATAATGATATATATATGTGTGTATATATGTATTTGTTACATGTAAAAGTATATGAATTGTATGGAATGATAGTAGTAATTGTTTATGTATGATTATTAGATAATGTTTACATTATATGTTTATTGTCTCACTAAGTCATAGACTTAGCGCGTGAGTGTTTCACAGGCATGCTCTTACAAGCTTATGGATAGTTAGGGTACAAGACAGGTCAGTTCTCCTTGCTGAATGTCAGATCAGAAAAAAATAAATAAACAATATGTATGTTAGTATATATATAAGTTCATGTTGGCATGTATTCAAAAGAATATGTTGTATAATCTCGGAATAATTTTGTACACGCTTTGAATAAGTTATATGTAAATGAATAAGTGAATTATGCACGCTCTGATCGATTTTGCAATAATGAAAATGTATTTTATGTAAATTGGTCAATTATATGTTATAAAAGTTTTTAAATTACTCACTATTTTATGCAAGTAAATGATTTGATATGTCAGTGTAACACCTCGAATTCGTATCCGGGTCGGGTACGGGTTGAGGGGTGTTACATGGTTACTCGTTAAATGCTTGAATCTAAGAACAATAAACTCTACAAATCATGGAAAGCAAAAACTACTGTAAGAAAAGAAGAAAAAAAACTCCAGTAGGCCGACTCAGTGAGGTGATGAAAAGAATCGAAGTCGGATGGGGTTAACCCCATCGTGTAGAACAGCAAATATGGCTATCTACATTGTCTAGAAAAACTAAGGCAAGCATATATATTGCATTAGGCCAACCAAAATAGAAAGATTTCCAAATCCCAAGCAATGATGTATGTCTAGATCTATCCGTAAAAAACAAGAGTACATCAGTGAACACAGAATGGAATGCTGCTTGTATTTGAGAATTCTAGATTGAAAACTAAACCAAATTTTACATAAACCTTCTTATCGGTTAGCAAAATTATCAATAGACGAATTCTGATGTAGCCTCAACCTGTCAAGAAAAGTCTGTTGCCAAGTTTAAGTTTATGCAAAACAATCCAGTTATATCAATACAAGGTCAACGCCCTAGCAACCGGAAGCATACCATGAGCTACCGTGGAGGGTAAGATGGATGGTATTGTGGCGGTATACCATATACACCATAAATAGGCCGCCTGTCATAATTATAAAAATGGGATGCGGCAGGGTTTGAATTCAAAGGGAAACCCATAGGAGCTCCTGCCACACCATACATCTGAGCTGATGGGCCTGCATAAGGATTAGCGACAGGAGTAGAACATGGCATGCCAAAAGGAGGGGCTGGTGAACGCAAATATGCAGCAGAATGATCTGGCAATAAGCCTGCTGGCCGAAGATGAGCTTGCTGGAACGGAGGAATCGCAGAAGTTGAGCCAGCAGCACTCAATGAGGGTACCGCATGAACAACAGATGCAGTTGTTTTAGGATGCTTGTTGCCACTCTGCTGTTGCTGCTTTGCCGGTGCCCGCTTCTTCTTCTTCTTCTTTGCCTGCTTAGCTGCCACCTGAATGGCCTTCTGTGCAGCCTGCTGCTGCTGAGGCTTGAAAGTAGCAGGAGTTGCAGGGGCTTTTTTGTCTGCCTGCTGCCTCTTAAGCTGCTCAATACGTTTCTGAAGGGGCTCTTGTGAATACTCAGTGTCTAGATTGCGCTCTTCAATTATTTTAATGACAGATTTCAAGGCATCAATTTCTCCATCAGCGGCAATATGCTGCACAAGAAACTGAAATTAGTAAAAGGAAAAAAAATTGAATACTGAAGTCTCGTACTTGGAAAAGTTTGCAGGAAATAAAAGTTTCCCAGCGACTTAAGAGAGTTCTTTCCTTTCTCACTTACTTGAGTTGCATGCCTCTTTGTATCCTCAAGATACACATCCAAAAGAGGTCCTGGTGGGAATTTTTCTGCTAGTCCCAACTCAAATATAAATTTCACAGCAAGCAATTGCTTCTCATCATCTAACAGTTTTTTAATCAAATCTGCAACGCATAAGGCAATGCTGTTTTCATCAGATCTACTGGTAAGAGGAAGAGAATTTGAAATCTCAAAAGGGGTAGAAAATTATGTAAAATCCTATGGAAATATATGATCAATGACCATTACAACTTGAGCTGATTATTTAAATGAGATAACAATATGCTACACCAATTACACATGCACATAATGATTAAATTGAACAAAAAGATCTACCCACAATTTTCATTTTTCTTTTCTTAATCCATCAAATTATTTCGGTCTTTTGGGAAATCATTGTGTTTATATGTTTCACCTTCTTGCCGAGTAAACAGTAAACCATTCTAAGAATATATCTTTTAATCAATGTGAGTCTCCTGTGTAAACTTGGCCAACCTAAGATACCTCCTTTTTAATATAGCAAGAAAATAAAGTACCTCCATTTCCTAAGTAAGCAGTCATATCAAAATTCAAGGCACCCAACACCAGAATAAAAAAAGGTCATGCAACACCTAGAATTTCAAAATTTTGTGCTTCCAATGCAGAAATTAGACAACTGAACACCATATAATCAATAAACCTTTCACTGATATGCAGGAAACCATCTCGTAAAAGATCGTTTTATCATTGTATCTAGTGAGAGAACTTCAAAAACATATAAAATGGTTGGAAAAGAAGCATAAACACCAATAAGAAATTAAATAAGCCTATGTGAATGTAGAAAGAACCAAATTCAACCAAGACACCACTAACCAACCACTGATATATAAATACCTATATGAAAAACATCAATTCTTAAAAGCTCCTTCAGGCACCAAATAATCTAAATCAAGCATACATGACATGACAAACAGCTGCAGAGTAGTTAACAAAATTTATATACCCGTAAAACATAGGAAAGCAAGCAAAATACTTAATCCCAAAATCAAATAAATCCAAATTCACATGATAAGAATTGCATTCAAATCAAGAAATCAATAACCTTACCATGAATTTTCTCCCCCAAACCAATTGACCTACACAATACAATAGCTTGCTGGAATTTAGCAATTGTAAAGAAGTAATCAACAAGCTCCTCCTTATCAACAATTGGTCCCAAACTATAAGTTGCCACTAAATGCAAATAAGCCAACGTCTCCAAAGAGTTATCTTTGAGCAACTTGACCTTGCCGTTCCACTCTAAAGCTAACTTCTTTGCTCTCTCCCTCACTTCTTCATTGATACTTATACCAGTTTCCATTAACTGCTCCAATAAAACCACACAAACCCTCCTTAATTCGAGAGTTCCTGGTTCTGTATCATCTTTAGACTGCGAATTTTCAGTGTAGAACCCCTCCATTGCATCCAAAACCATCGCCCCAGGATCCGCAGCACTACTCAATGCACCGGGAAGCTCCATTTGGATAGCTTCCCGTTCTTTTACGCGGTCGTGTATGTACTTCCTCAACCCTTTCCCATCCATTCTCTCACAAAACTCCTTCAGTTCTGGTCGAGTCACCACTGAGCCAGTGCCGCCTGTCGGCGGAACCGAACCATCAGACTTCACGCCCACGGAATTTGACGATGATGGTTTCTCAACATTTGACGATACAAGCTGATTTAATGGTTGATTCACCATAGTACCAGTGAACGATTCAACTCGGTCTTGTTCCGGTGACGGGTTGGGAGCCGGTGGGTCTCCCTGTTTAGACACGGGCGATTGAGTTGAGTACAGAGTGAGCTTTAAAACGGAGGCGTCATCAATTGGGTTGCGAATGGATTCGCGGGACTCGAGGGTGCGGAACCGTTGAGTCACCGAGTTTTTAAGTTTGGTGAAGTGAGTATCGAGGTCGGACCATGATACAGAGAAAGAAGAGAGGTGCAGAGAGTTGGCTTGGAGGTCATCGAACGCCTTCTTGAGTTCTTCTTTTTTGACGTCAATGAGTTTGATCGCCGATTCTATTGCTCTCAGCGACGGCGTCACCGATACGTTTTCCGATGACATTGTTTTAGAAGATCGTGTTAAACAGAAGAAGAAAAAGATAAAATAAAACCCCAAGTCAAGAAATAAAAACAATTCAGTTAAAATAAGACATCTGATTTTTTATGGGCTGGGTAACATGAAGTTGAGATTTAGGTTTTATTTTGGGTTGGGCTTAGGCTTAATTGAAGTGACCTTGCAAAAGGGTTTAGCATTCATTTATCAGAATCCTACTGGAGTAGACCTTCCGAAGTGGGTGAAGTATGGTGAGGGAAGAATGGACCAGAGAGTCTTTGACAAATAGGTCCCCAAAGCCGAGTTGCAGTGGGCATGTCTTTTGTTAAATATAGCTCTAAACTGTGTATCTCATTCAGCACAAGATAGACCAACTGCACTAGAGGTCTCCAAAAAGATGGACTAAGCTTTCCTCACACATGATGATCGCTCAGTTTCTTCGATGTCTTCCTGGAATCAGGCCATCATGACTGCTGTATACTTCACGGTGTCATACCAGAAACAAACTTGGGATACTCCATGATCAAATTATTAGAGGAACAAGAAGTTATAAAAGTAAAAGGTTCATTCATATATACCGACAGTAGTTGCAATGGAACAAAGCTAGTCAACAGTACAAAGTCATGACTTTCCCACTCATCTAATGCATGTTTGATGTACGCACAAACACAACATATTACAAATACACATTATCACACTTTCACTATTAGTCTTCAGTTTCCACCATAAATTCTACAGTCACCTGTTGTGCCTTCCTTTGATCAGAGGCTTAGAAAAAAAGCCCTACTTCCATAGAACACCCGAGAGCCGGTGGTTTTCGATGCTTGAATTTTCTGGTCAGTTGTAGTACTGGAATTCTCCGATTTGGTTGCTCCGTTGTCGATGTCCAGAGGCAGTTTCATCTTAGCTAATGACTCAGTAAATTGCTGCATGCTTTTCATTTACAGGTTTTGTGATGGGATTGCTTCGACTGGAAGAAACACTGTCAGAATCTCCAACATCTGCAGTTTTCTCCTTTGGGGCAGAACTGTGCTCCTCAGCAGAAGTTTTCGAAGCAGCTGGACCATATGAGGACTTGGAGCTTGCAGCAGCAGATGGAGATGAGACCCCATTAGTTGACACACTGCTTGGCGGAGAATCAAGCTTGGGAACTTGAATGTAATTGACAGTAGCAGTCGAGAAACTTTCCACTGCATTAACACCCATGTCCGAACTAACTCGATTTTCAGCATCAGAGGTGACCAAACTTTCGGAGTCTAAATTGGAACATGGGATCCCAAAATACTCGGAAACCATCATCTGGTTCTCATTCACAATTTTTGGATCTGAAAACTCAACCTTTTCTGATTCACACTCACTTATTTCTGAATCCTTCAGTGTCTCATCTGAAACCAATTCCTTAGGCATTTCCGGAATAGCCATCACTTCAGGAGATGATCCAACATATGCAAGAGATAATTGAACAAAACCGGCAGGTGAATGGAACAGATCAGTGGAAGAAAGAGAGAATTCTTTCTCCAATTTCCTGTTCTTGAGGACTACTTCAGACAGTGGCACCAATGCAAACCCCAGCAACTGGTCTTCAAGATAGTTCCTCACTCTACTCACCATGAATATCTCGATTCTGAGAGAGGAATCAACAGTTTGAACGTTGAGCCGAACATTATCATTGAAAACTGGATTCCTCCTGTTGAAATCTAGTGCACATGGCACCGAAAGTTGGAAAATTAAAAACAAATGGGACACCGATTCATGTAGTCAAAAAGAGGCTGAAATTGTTGAAAAATAAAATGGTAAAAGCTTAAATTTAGTCATTGTAATTTAGGGTATTTACAAATTAGTCTTTAAGACTTTAACTATAAATACCCTAGCTCATTTAGCTTCAAAATCATCCCAAAAGCATTCTAGCTTTCTCCCAATACTAGAGAGAATTTAGAGAGTTTCTTGAGAGTTGTTTTCTCCTTTTTATCAAGAGAGAATTATCATTGTTTTCTCCTTGGTAGATCGAGAGAAGTTGTAATTCGTATTTTCTCATAGTGAAATTCTTCTACCGTTGCCCGTAGTTTTTACCCTACATTATTTAGGGGTTTTCCACGTAAATTTTGTGTCTCTTTTTATCTTCATTTTTTTCCCTCAAATTATCAGTTACGATTTTGCTCTATCTAATAGCCGTCTTCCGCAACACCTCCCACCACCATTGATGATCTTGGTGGGTACTGTGATTTCAGGGTCACTGGTGAGACAAAGCTTATCATAAACATCCTGCTTGTGGTAAATGCATATGTTATGGATGTCTCGGGCCTGATGAACATAAACCTCAAGAACACCGACGAAGTTGTCTCTATCGGAAACGTCGGCTTCCTTTGTGTTAATTTCAGAAGCATTTGATAAGCCACCAGAGTTCCTAGTGAAAATTTCAGATTTCGGCTGCTGCTCAGGCTCAGCTACAACATTGCTCTTGAACGGTGAGACAACTGACTGTGGAGAATCCATGAGAGCATCAAAAAATGAACCTGGCAAAGGAAAACAAAGCAATCCTTTTTTCAATCAAGTCACTCAAAAATCAAAATACATAAAGCTGACACTAACAAACAATTTCTAAACCAAAATTGGAAACTAAACCCAATTCTTCAAGCAAACCATAGTACATAATAATATGAATTTTTTTTTAAAGCCTACAACTTGGAATCATCCCCAGCCTTAAAAAGATTGTGCAAATAGCTGAAAGATAACCCCAAATTTAATACCTTTCAAGACATTCATAGAAATTCTTTAATTTATAAAAAAAATAAATAAAAAACTATTTTAAAGAATAACTCTTTGTATTTTGTTAAAAATGTGGGATTTACATAGTTGTTTGTTAATTTAGAGTGATAAGGAAATAAGACTTTAAAAATATGGTTTAAATTTAAAGAGTGTGAATAGAATATAATTTCTTAACAGAATAAGTATGATAGTGAATTTCTATAAATTTTGAATTAATCGACAAATAAATTAAATAATGATAGTTATACTAAACAGTAATAATTATATATTTAAAATCTTAAATTTAATATATATATATATATTTAGTTATATCTTTTCTATATATATTATTTTATTAAAACTCACCTTTAATGTTTGATTAAATATTCAACTATATTGATATTTTTTAAAACATATTTGTTATCGACGTTTAAATTTTATCAGAATATTTTTTTATAAACATTTCAATATGTGTTTAATTGTTAATATAATATATAACATGATATCACTTTTAGCGAGATATATCATGTTTATAACTTTTATTGATTTAGTAAATGTCATGTTATTACTATTGATGATATAATATATATCTTTCATTATTTTTAGTAATTTAGTATATATTATATTATAAATTAAATATATTTAAAAATATAAATAATATTAAGAATTGATTATAAAGGAATTAGAAAAAAATACAATGGGTAAACTACACGTTTAGTATCTAAATTATTATTTTTGTTTTGTTTTGATATTTAAACTTTATTTTTTTTAAATATTACCTAACGTTTAATTTAAGTTTTATTTTGGTACTCCGTCGTTAAAAACTTAACGGTTATATTGACATGTTATCAGAAGGTAATATAACATCATCATTGAAAAAAGAATAAAAAATTACAACGTCAATAATTTTGTAATATCAGAATACTAAACTGAAACATAAACTAAACGTTAAGTATAATTTAAAAAAATTAAGGATCAAAATATAATAGTTTAAGTATTAAACGTGTAGTTTCCCCAAATATATAAATTTAAAGATATAAAAGTTATCAACGATAAATACTTAGACGATCAACTATGACTAATTAAATCTTAACGACACAAGGCAAGAGGAAGAAAATAACCTTTTTATCCATTAGAAAAATATACGTGTAAAATTGGTTTTGAATAACTAGTGTTATACGAGTGGATGGATATGTGATTTTCTAATTCCAATTGAAGGCTCCATGTGCTTAAATAATGGGATCAAAAGCCCCACATTTTTGGGCCATATTTAATACCTCCTTCATTTATTGCTTAAACCTATAATTAGTACAATCTAAGTAAGAAATAATTGTATCTTATGTTTTTAAAGTATAACTCATTTTAAATTGGTCTCTAACTCATTTTAAATTGGTCTCTAAACTTTTAAATATTTCAATTTATTCTTAAACTACGACTATCATTCTAAATTAATCCTCAAAATTTTGAATATTTCAATTTCATCCCCAAACTATGACATCCATTCTACATTAGTCCCCAAACTTTTTGAACATTCCAAATTTATTAGAAATTATATGTATATACTAATCATCCATTGTCAATAAAATCGTTAGGCCAATTTATATTATTTATGTTTGGAAAAAAAATTAGGTTAAACTATGGTTGAAACGAATTATAAATTTGAATGAATTTAGGGAAGAATTTGGAAGATCTAAAAGTTTGGGGACCAATGAAATTAGAATGTTTAAAAGTTTAAGGGCTAATTCAAAGTGATTGTCATAGTTTAAGGATAAAATTGAAATATTCAAAAGTTTAATGACCAATTAAGATAAGGGTAATAGTTTGGGGACATATGATGTAATTAACTCTCTAAATAATTATATCAAATAAGTTTTATTCTCTTTATAGGTTTAATGTTGAGCAGTTATCTTTATAGAGTGTGTGTTATCAATAACTAAGAAAGATTTTGAACAAATATTATAATGTCAATAGCTACGTATTTGTTACTTTTTTTCAACGACAGATGACCAATATGAAACTATAAATGCTATATATGATTTTAAAAAATAAATCTGCAAGAATAGTTGAAGTGATTAAATAAGCAATTTTCCCAAAAAGTTGATATTTGCTGAACCCAAGCACTGCTCACAACGGCTATATTTTTTTATCTTGTGGATTGACCCAGTTGCCCCTATCTACTAATTTGGATTATGATAATGATTGGAGCGCCCTTATTATTTTAAAAGATACATTTTCTTTTCCTCTTGACTTTCGTTTTGGGGTTAAGAGAAAGAAGTATTTGAGTAATTAATGATGGAAAT